ATGAGTACAAAGCCCAAATGGATTCTTTGTTGGTTTCCTCCAATTGACAATAGACTCGGGGTGGAGGTTGACTTACAATCGGCTTACTCAAGAACTCATCAAACCCGGCGTCAATCGCCTCGTTGTGGGCAACATCACTGCCCATCCCCGTCAGAGCGATGATCTTAGCGGGTGGGTTAACCTTGTTGTCCTTCTCGAATCGTCGAATCTCCTTAGCGGAAGATATCCCATTCATCACAGGCATGGAAATGTCCATAAAGATATGTTTGAAGGGAGTTTGACCAGCACCCTCTCGGACGCTCTTCTTGTATGCTTCTAGAGCCTTCAATCCATCAGTGGCCGACTCGAAGGGGTGGCCTGCTTTGCGAACGAATGTAACGAGGAGGTGCAAATTAATGTGATTGTCGTCGACCACCAGGACGCGGGAATTGTTCGTGTCGGGTTCTCGAGGCAGGGCAGCGCTTTGGGTGACATCTGATTGGTTTAATGTGACCACCTCTTCTGAAGTCCCCATTTTTACTAATGATGGTTTTCTCGAGTTGGACTGGTTCTCGGTGGGAACCTTGCGCAAATCATCGACTGACTGGCGCTTGGCTATACCGTCACCATCAGGCGTAGGGGTATGGTCAACGTCCTGGACTGCTTCTTCATCAGGCCTGGAAATATCCTCACTTGCTCGGCTGCTCTCGTTATCCACAATTCGGTCTCGCCCGAAAGATAACGCTGCTGTCTTCGAGGGCTTCTTCGCATGGTCCTTTTGCAGCATCTCCAGCCGTTGCATACACCGATGAAGCACCTTAGCCAGCTTCTGCGGCCCACACGGTTGTGCAATCACCTCGATGACTCTACCAATATCCGTAAGGTAGTGGATGCCGTTTGACCTCAAGGATGCTGCTTCGAATGCATTCGTACACAAGATGATAACGGGGACCTCTCTTTCCGTTTCTGGCTTGCCGTGGTAGTCAATTAGGTAGTCGATAGGTGGTGGCTCAGGATAGATAAAGAAGTCCGGCGAGAGACCATCCATGGTCTTGGTCGTGGTGATCTTCATTCGGAACCACTGAGACACCAAGTTCCGCATTGAGCTCTCTATCGTCGGCATCGGGACAAGATGGCGGACATCTGTTTCGCTGCTCTTCTCATCATAGGGCAAGAGCATACACATCTCTCGTCCCGTGGTGCGCTGGCGCATGTCTGGAATAATGTTTGCTTCGGGCAAGGAACTGATATCCTTCTGACTCTTTGGTAGTCTGAGCCAGATTCGTACTTCGGTGCCCACGTCCTTCTCGCTTGAAAGATCGATCTTGCCTCCAAGAGAGTCGACAATTTGTCGGACAATGCTGAGCCCAAGGCCTGTACCTGTAGCCAAAGTGTCTTCCTGGGAGAATGCAGTAAATGCGTGATTCTTCATGAAATCATCCGACATGCCGCGGCCGGTGTCGGCAATTTTCAGCAGCATGTGTAGATTCGAGCTCGCCTTATTACGCGAGCGATCAACCTCGAGCGCAACATTGATACTCCCCTTGCTAGTATATTTCAAGGCATTCCCAAGAATGTTCATGACAATCCGCCTAACAGCTCCGGGTTGAGATCTGACCCACCAGTTGGTATGATCGTCGATATTCAAGGTAAGGCGAACAGCGGATGCTGCTTTGGCCGAGCCTTTGCTGATATTGGCCCGTCGCTCCAGGCGTTGTTGCATGGCTCGACTCGCGGCCGTCTGGACAGGCGACTTCCCTTCCAACGCGTCTGCGTTGGCGGTTCGGAAGACTTGGCCGGCGTACACAGCTTCAACAGCTTCTTCCACCACAACCGCCATATCAAAATCCTCCGTCAGATTGGTTTCAGGTTTGCTCCGTTGCGCACGGCCCGGACTAGAAGCGGGATCTTGTCGCTGAGATTTGGACAGACTGTGGATCTTCGCATAATCAAGCACATGATTGACTGTGTCGAGCAACGTCTTGCCACACGTTTCAACGCTGATGACCATAGAGGATTGAAAGTCATCCATGGCCGTATCGTGCAGGAATTCAATGCTCCCCAGAATCCCGTGAAGAGGCGAGCGTAGCTCGTGAGAGATATTGGCCAGAAATGTTGACTTGGCAGTATCGGAAAGTGCTAGATCAATGCGATTGAGCTCATTCACAATCGCGTTACTGAAAGCTTTCAGGTAAACCATATCGTCCTCAACGTTAGTCAGACTGCCTGCATCATTCGACCAAACTATCAGCCCAGCATGCCACCGCTCCTTCGCAAAATCCCACAACGGCAGAAAGACAATCTTCCTTGCTCCAGGTAGTGCTTTCAACAGAGAATTGGTGGTGGGAATATGCTTTCCTGCTTTCGATCCTTGGTCAGCATCCACAAGAGAGATATCCACAGCCGACGCCGACTCAGAGCTCTCGTCACTGGAGGCTGGCTTGCCAAACTGATCGAATGTAAATGACTTTCCTCTTGGATGACGTCGAACCAGACGCCGCATGGTCTGGTCGGCGATGCTGATCGACTGGTTAGGATCGCTTGTGCAGATACCCAGAATTTCACACTTTTGTCTCCTGCTTTGGGAAGCAGACGAGTCGCTATTGCTCCGCGTACTTGCAGTATCGTCGCTGGAGGAGAGAGAATCGTCCCTCGCAAGCCCTTGCTGTGATTCAGCGCCGTCCATTCCGTTCTGATGGTCTGAGTGGTGTCTTCCATGGGATTTATCATGATGGAATTTTGATAGAGCAGCTCCAGATGTTTTCATGCTCGAACCTGAGCTCAGGTTCGCGGAGCTTGCATTCAGAAACGCAACCCCATCGGCGTCGAGGCAATATTGGAGAACAGCCGCGGCACGATCAAACACTTGGTGAGACTCTTGCATTATCTTGTCTTTGGCTGATTTAGCAGAATGCGCCGGTTGCGTGTGTCTGGCTACGTGGTTGAGGATGCCTTTCTGACTGAAGCCTGAAGACTTTGGTGTCATTCTGCCATTTGCGCGGTCGCGGGTAAGGGCCCCGAGTTTGGAGTCTTCCGCAGGTGCATTTGCGTCTCCAATCACCAAACCCATGAATTCAGCGGTCTTGGTTGCCTCGGGGTTGGTATTCTGGCTCGATTTGGAGCTACTGGACTTATCGCGCTGGGAATTGGAATCGTCTTCACTCCCTTCAGCCTTGTCGCCCTCGATGAATGTCCCAATCCCATAAATGAGGCGCTCCCCTCGCTTCCTGGCACGATCGTTCCGTACACTTTCCAAATGTTGGATGACGATAGCGGACATGTCCCGTAGGAAATGAAGTTCAGTTGCCGTGAGACCCTCGCGGGGCTTGTCGTCGCTGACGTTGTACACCCCGATGACATGGCCCAAGTGAGTGGTGATTGGCACGCCACAATAAAAAGAAACGCCCCGACCAGCGTACCCTCGAGTTTTGTATTTCTCATGTGTGGCGATATCGCTGACAACTAACGCTTCGGTGGTGAAGGAAGAGCCATCTGGATCATAGGCGGTATACTTGTCACAATACATAGCGTCGGCCGAGATGCCACCGTCTCGTTCAATGAAAGAATTTCCGAACCACAGCTCGTCTCCTTCATCGTGGTGGTCATCGCTCAACAGCGATAGAGATTTCGTAGCTTCGGCTATGATATATTGCCTCGTAGTCCCCAGCAAAGTGACTATACATCTTTTGGCGTTCAGGCGGAGGCAGCCCAGTTGCGCAAATGCAGTCAACGCCTTGTCTCGCGAGGAACGAGGCCGATGGGCATCAGCCTGAGTAGCAGAGGGAGGAAAGTCCGAGGCAGGTTCAAAGTCGGTCGACAAGAAGGTTTCGAGCCACGGCTGATAGTACCTGGAGACTGAGTGAGCAGGTGAGGTCATGGACAGGGATAGGAAGAGCAGTACCTGTGCATTTCACGCTCTCGCGCCGCTTCTGGAGCCATGGTGAGAGGAGGCAGATGCTTGTCTGCCCTTCTATCCTAACCTCCAAGTTCCCCGTTTCCTGCGCTTTGAGATTGCAATGTTCGTACCAAAAGGTAGTCCAATATCTGCTCATGCTCAGCTGTGACAAAATGTGAAGCGGCATGGCAGGATTGCTATAGGACAAGGTCTAGACATATTAGCGTACTCGAGAGGGTACTGGTGTTGGGTGACCCAAGTTCGAGTTCGTAACAAGAGGGTCGAGGGAATGACGGAATAACCGAAAGTCACAGGAACACTTTGAGAGATAGGCCACGATGGGCAGCCATGAGAGATCGGCAGGGTGCGATGATCGCTGTGAGTTTAGACTCGAGAAATGGGTGGCATTGCTAGACCTGCCTCTCCTGCCCGTGTGTACCACCAACCGCAGGCATGAGAGCGTCATTGACCTTCGAGAAAACACACGAGATTGGACGGATGGAGCCATGGCCTCGAAAAGTGGGAACCTCGTGGCGCATGGCAGAAACAACGCGAGGAATGAGGTGCATGGCGTTGGCCCGCTGCTCTGGGTGCATTCCTTTGGGAGACATGGTCGAATCCAGACCGTTCGATGGGACCATGGGTCAGTGCAGGATCGCAGAGGCACGTTGTGATGCAGCTCTGGACGCAGCTTTGGGTCAGAGTGAGGAGCAATGCGTGACTTGACTTCGGGGTGCATCTCGGAGCACGAACCCCACTATCAGCCCACCACAGGCAAAGTTACGGGTGCCCATTGTACCCGAATAGGCACTCGCTACCACGCTCCAGGCCCAACAGGGTACCTAGAGAGGTAACCTAGCAAGGCCTAGTTAGATAGCCAAGGAGCCAAGCACAACTCTACACGTGATACCAGAAAATCAACGGAGCGATGACGCCAGAACCTCGCGAGTTGCTATCATGATTGTAACAAGAATCTTGAGCCTCACTTTTCCGTATCTACACTCGCCCGCCATTCCATCCGCATTAGCTCGAGCCAAGTCACCTTGGTGCCCGCCACCACCTTCCCTGTCTTCCCTCCCCCATGGATCTCCTATATCGAGATTCAGGACCCTGAGATTCGCCCGACATGGCTCCCGATAGAGGCGCACCCTCTCACACCCACTCCCCCTCCACGTCCGATATTGAAGACCATGAATTGCTTCCGCAGGCCGGTCAACAGCAAGATATCTCCCGCTTACAATCTGACCATGCCCGTTATGCCGTCCCTGGCGCGTATGACTCGGCCTTGGATGGGACAAACTTTACATTTCGAGGTGTTGCAGTAGGAACAGGCATTGGAGTTCTCATCGCCTTTTCCAATACATACTTTGGCCTGCAAACCGGTTGGGTGTCTGGGATGGCAATGCCAGCCTCTCTGATCGGATTCGCCGTCTTCAAGTCGCTATCTCGCTTTTTGGTCCTCCCTTTTACGCCCGTGGAGAATGTCTTAGTCCAGACGGTTGCTGGAGCGGTTGGCACTATGCCGCTGGGACTGGGGTTCGTTGGCGTTATGCCCAGCATACAGTTTCTGCTTAAAGAGAGTGAGGGTGCCCCGGTTGACCTGAGTCTCTGGAGGCTGTTTGTCTGGGGCATTGGGCTCTGCTTGTTCGGCGTCGTGTTCGGAGTCCCCTTACGAAAACAGGTCATTATCCGCGAGCGCCTCAAGTTCCCCAGTGGGACTGCGACAGCACTCATGATAAGTGTTCTGCATGGTGGTTCCAAGAGCGAAGAGGCCAAGGATCGAGAAATCGAAACCCAAGGGACCGAAGAACGCGAGGAACTGTTGAGGGAAAGCGACCGAGACAACCAACCAGAACAGGCGGAAGGACGTGATATGCGAGGAGATTGGAAAAGGCAAATTCGACTTCTCGTGGTTGCCTTCCTTGGCTCCGGCGCATACACCTTGGTTCAATACTTTCTTCCTATTTTCCACAAACTGCCCGTCTTTGGCACCCACCTGGCGAACAAGTGGGAATGGACACTCAATCCTTCGCCCGCATATGTTGGTCAAGGTATTATCATGGGACCTGCCACCACATTCCATATGCTTCTTGGTGCTATTGTAGGATGGGCCATATTGAGTCCTATAGCCAAGCACAATGGGTGGGCGCCAGGACCTGTGGACGACTGGGAAACAGGGAGCAAGGGCTGGATCGTCTGGGTCAGCCTGGCAATCATGTTGGCCGATGCAATCGTCAATCTGGGTTGGCTGTTCCTTCGCCCAACCATTCACTATGGTCCGGGTTGGATCAAGTCTCTCCGCGGGCACTACAGGGCTAGCCCTTCCTGGTCCGACTTCTTACTCGGTAAACAACTTGCCGGTTATATCTCCCTCGACTCATCCGCACACGCGCCTCCGTCTTCTCCTACCGGCAACCCGACAAAGACGACACCTAACGATCCTCCTGACGATGCACCGCCTCACCACCTCGTGACCACGCGAACTGTCGCCATCTTCCTTCCCATCACGCTGATCCTTTGCGTTGTATGCATCCACATAACCTTTGGCGATTACATCCCTATCGGACTCAACATCCTTGCCATCCTTCTCGCCTTGGTACTGTCCATCATGGGGGTCCGCGCACTTGGGGAAACCGATTTGAATCCCGTTTCTGGAATCTCGAAGCTCACCCAATTGGTGTTTGCCTTGATCACACCAACTGGTCCACATGCAAACCACAGCATAATCATCAATCTGCTCGCAGGAGCTGTAAGCGAAGCGGGAGCACTTCAAGCTGGCGACATCCTCCAAGATCTCAAAGCCGGACATTTAATTGGGGCGTCACCCAAAGCTCAATTCTACGGTCAGCTTATAGGGAGTGTCGTGGGTGCTTTTGTCTCTGCTGCAGTCTACAAGTTGTACGTCTCCGTCTACCCAATCCCAGGGGACTTGTTTGAGATACCCACAGCCTATGTTTGGATCTTCACTGCACGATTGGTGACGGGCAAGGGTCTTCCTCCCATGGCCTGGCAGTTCGCCCTCCTCTTTGGCGTGGTATTTGTCCTCACAACCACTCTGCGGATATACCTACTCGCATATAGGGATTCCAAGCCCTGGTGTAAGGCTTTGCACCCGTGGATCCCAGGAGGTATTGCAGTGGCAGTGGGCATGTACAACACTCCCAGCTTCACACTGGCGAGGACTGTTGGCGGCGTGATCTCTCTCTGGTGGGTACGATGGAAAGGGAGAGGGGAGACGAGGGTCATTGTGCTGGCAAGTGGCTTAATTCTAGGAGAAGGCGTGGTTAGTATTTTGAACTTGGTACTGGCGAGTTTGGGGGTACCGCATTTATGATCCAAGGAGGCCAAGATTGGACCTTCATGACAATATGATTCAGAGCGGGTTCTCATGCAAAATGGCCCGACTACAAAATATAGAAAATGACAGCCAAACAAGGTGATAATATCTTGTCAGACATACGCTTTAATCCGGGGGCTTGGGAGATCGGTCGGCCTTGGCGTGCACGTGCATCCTTGTCCCAACGAGGCTCTGCCAAACACACAATCTCATCTTCGCATTATTACATCAGGCAATATCAAATCCTTCCACGACGCTTCGCCCTCGAAATGTCAATGGCTTTCTCGTACGCGGAATCTCTACTCCACGAGTCATATATCTGTACAGAAGCCATCCTTTAAAGTCTCCCGGTGAGCAGGAGCGTCTAGAGACATTCCAGGCAATTCATTAGGTAACAGTTCGGAGAAAATTTGCCCTCGAGCTTCAAAAACGTTTTTGTCGTCATCCGGAACCCGCAAAATGCTGCTCGCTCTCTGACAAGTCCGCTCATGTCCGGCATCTCCAGTCTGATATTGGTAATGGCCCGAAGAAAGATGAGGAGAGATCTAACGGCTCCTCACACCGGGCCATTGCCCCGCCACTTGTTGACTCGGCGAAGGAAATATATACATAGTCAGATTTTTTATTTGCACTTCCTGCTTCATGGGACACTGTCTTTCTCTCTACGCTGTCTTGTGTGCATTGCTGCCATTCCCTTCCGCTCGTTGCAACGGCTGCCTTGAGCGGCTTTTCCTCTTGTGACTTTCATTTCCAACCTCATTTACTCTCTCGAAAGTACGAGATATCTCCGATTTGCCGATGACAGAATTCGATGAGGAGTCGAAGGTAGTCACCCAAATCCAAAATGGGCATACTACGGGTCTTCCCAGTGACGGGGTCGCCCTGGGAGTCATCGATTGGTATGGGCCCGACGACCCGGAAAACCCATACAACTGGCCCCTGCGCAAGAAGTGGACAATCACCGCGGTAGGGATCCTGGCGACGTTCACGACGATCCTGAACGGAACCATGATCACCGTCGCCCACGAGGCTATCAACAACGAGTTCGGCGTCAGTGACGCCAAATTTCCAAACTCGTACTGGCCAGTCACTAGCTGGGCTTTGGGGGGTGGTTTGTGTGGCCTCGTCGTTTTGCCTCTGATGGAGGATTTCGGTGTGCGGCCCGCATTTCTTCTCACATACATCGTCTTCATCTGCTTCATCATCCCACAGGCAGTGGCGCAAAATTTCGCAACGCTGATCGTCTCGCGGTTCTTCTCCGGTGGTTGCGTGTCTGTCCTCGCCAACACCGCTGCAGCCTTGATCGGCAACATCTGGGAAGGCGACCGCGCTCGCACCATCCCTATGAGTCTCTTCGTCACTCTCTACCTTGCCGGGAGTAGCACAGGACCTGTTATTGCGGGTGTCATATTCGAAAACCTGTCGTGGCGATGGATCTCGTACATCCAGCTGATCTGGTATGGCGCTCTCTTCCCCATCTACATCTTCTTTTTCCAGGAGAGCAGGGGTTCTATCATCCTTCAAAAGCGTGCTTTGAAGCTACAGAAGGCGGGCGTCGCAATACTGGGCCCACACGACGGAGGCCATCTGAGTCTGCCACGCAAGTTGATTCGGAGCACGAAGCGGCCTTTGCGGATGCTCCTCACCGAACCGGTCCTCTTTGTCTTCACACTCTGGTCAGCTTTCATGGTCGGTACCGTTTATCTCTTCACCCAGTCCGTCGAGCAGGTCTTCGCTGGGTTGTACGGCTGGTCAGCCTCACAGGCTGGCTATGTCCAAGCAGCAGTCGTTGTAGGCGAGTTTGTCGGCTGGACTGGAGTTCTCATCAATGCAAAGCTCTACTTCGCCTCAGTGTCCCGCAATACGGAAGTGCCGGGGACACCCATACCCGAAGCTCGACTGTATGTGAGTGTTTTCGGAAGTTTCGTCGGCGTGGCCGGCGGTATGTTTGTGTATGGGTAAGTTTCCTTGCCCCTTGCCATATGAACCCGCTGGACATTGGACAATGGACAATGAAGGTGGTAGTCCAGACCAACACTGAAAGAAGCCCCCATTTGTCTCCTCTGCTGCTTGTATAATCAGAACCGAAAACTAATGTCTCTTCACCCTCGCAGATGGACCTCCTACCCTTCCGCACCCTGGATCGCACCGGCAATCGGCCTCGCCATGGTCGGGTACGGGGTGAACGTGGTGGTGGTAGCGATCGCCGACTATGTGGTGGACGCGTACGCCAAGTACGCTGGTAGTGCGTGTGCAGCCGTCGTGCTGGGCGAGAACCTGTTCTCAGCCTTTTTGCCCCTCGCCGCGCAGAGCATGTACACCGATCTCGGCTTCCGTTGGGCCAGCAGCCTGTTGGGCTTCCTGGCTCTACTCCTCTCCTTTGCGCCCGTGTGTATATTGTTCGCAGGCCGGCGACTGAGGCAGCGGAGCCCCTTTATGAAGGAGGCGATTGTTCTGAGGAGAGAATACTCGCGCGCGAATTGAGAATCCTGCGAGAGGTTTTGTCTTGCTTGTCGAAGAGGTGGTTTGGTGGACCTCAAAAAGTTGTCAGGGACATCGTCGCGATTTGCACAGCGTCGTCTTGCATTGCATTGCTTTGGATATATGGTTTGGTTTGGCATGGCACCGGCGCAGCACAGGATAAATCACACAAAGAACGAAAAGAGGAAGAGGAATACAAAGAAAAGAGAAGAGCGGCACACCTCGGGGTACATACAGAAGATACAGTGCATGCATGGGCTAGATATATCTAGAATATATCTTATGAACACTACGCTCCACGCTCTACGCCCAACCAAGGACTTCGAGATTCCTGTTGAATAAATCCCGGATGCTCACCAGCCTCTGAGTTGCCGCACGAGTCAATATCAATGACACGCTTGCATTCTCGGAACGAAGTGTAGCTAGAAGATCCTTGATAGCGGTGCCTCTCCCCCCCTCCCTCTTCAAGGAAGATATCGCCAAAGACGCCAGGGGAACGACTTCAGCTCCTCCTCAGTATCCCCCGTCGCAAGCTAGTCGTGCATCCCTTGAATTCCGTCCCAGGACCGGCTGTCGGATGGGGCCATTTCTTCGAGGGTTCCCCCTTTCCCCCGAAAGACGGGGTCGGTCGGGGATGGAATAGAGGGTAGTCATTGCCAGCCAGACTCATGAGTCATGAGTCATGTCATGACCTGGCCAGACCAGACCAGACCAGGCAACACTAACAAAGTCTTCCGAAACATCGTATCCAAGCATTCTTCGTTTCCGTGTCGTATCGTGGACTCGTGGTCCCCTGCACTAGTTCCAAGTACGCTACGGTGCATGGCAATCTAAAACGGTGTGCGTCTCTCCCATGAAAATACCTAAGGATAGCCAGGCTGGGGGCGACTTTGAGGTTTTTGTAGGAGGGGCATTACAGAAAGACCCGAGGGAGAGATTCGCCAGGCTCATAGAACCTGTACTTGATACATACCTACCAAAAACCCCGGAGGCCCTTCTACAGCCAAATACTTGGTCGATATACGAACCACTTTTTAGGAACAAGTCTGCTTTGGAATGAATGCACTTGCAAGAGAACTTAACCAAACACAAAACTATCCCCTTGGCATCACGTAACAACAACTCAGTGTCCCTGTTGAAGCCTTTGATCTAAAGGGCGTCGAGAACAAGACACGCCCCAAGAGTCAGTGGTAGGAAATAGTCCCGAGGGACTTTTGCCGACAAGCGCTGCAACCGAGTAGTTCGGTGGGCTCATCGCAAAGGCGGGGAGGGCGGAGGAGGGTTCAAGAGATGTCACTCGTACAACACGAGAGCCTCTTGCAGGTTGTAGCCTTCCACGTACCTACTAACGACAAAGAGGCCAATTGATTCCCGGTGTCGTTGTATTTGCCTGCTCCTTTGACGGATTCTACGCTCTGCCCACCACGGCGACTGGTCGAGGGAACAGATCCAGGACATCAAACACCACAGCATCAGTAGGAGAACACAATCATCCATCCATTCCCCTCTCTTGCTTGCGGTTGACGCCCCGATCCCGAGGTCGTGGGCAACCCGTTGCAGTGAAGTATGTTATGCCGGGGCTCAATCGAACAATCAATCATACATAGCCTTGGGAGTGTAACTTCGCCCTCTCCCCGGACAACATAACTACTGTAGGGTATACTTTTTTTTTCCTTGGATTGAGTTTTTTTGCGTTTTCTTCGGGAAACCCAGAAAAAAAACGAGACACCGCCGTTTTGGCCGTTGTTGTTTTGTCGTCGTCCGCTTGTCGACGGCGACGCTGCGCTAACGGGTTTGGCGCTCCAGCTCGGTTAGAATCTCATTGTCCCATTGGAACGCCCACCTCGTATCCCCCCCCCTCCCCCCGGGCAAGTTGGGTCTCGGATACCCGGGGGGTAGCCGGGCCTTGCTTCAAGCACTTTGGGGTATGTACGTGGAATGAGTGCTTGGCCTGGAACAAACCACCCAGATGACTTGACCTTGACGTGCCTGCCGTAGGTAACTGTCAGGCTTAATAGTATGCTCAATATCGCAGTGCTGCAAGATCTCATGAGCTTGAGGAGAATCGGGTATCATCTCGAGCGTATATATCGATAGATTGTGTGGGTTTGTTGTTTAAACTGGAATTGGTCAAGCAAGCTCGAGTGTCCGTCCCGTTCAGGATCCAGGATCCATCATACAATTACCTGGAGGCAAGTACTAGCGCCTTCTGGAGGAAGGAACTCGTCTAATCTCGGGATCAGGGCAGGTTCCGTCCGAGACCACGTTGCGAGAGCGAGAACGAACGCCTCCCCCAGCCTTTTCGCCCTTCCGGTCGACCTGGCCCGATCATGGGCGGTCGAAGCCCTTGATGAGAACATGGCCCAGGCCACAGGATTAGCTAGAGGACTAAGTCACAGCAATTCTCCATGTCCCGTCGTATTTTCGTTTGGGGGAGGGCAAGGAGGGGGAGGAAAGGGGTCCCACATGACCCGCGGTACTTCCTCATCCTACTCGTCCATGTTTATTTGGGCCTCTAGGCTCGAATCCTGATGATGCTGGTTGCTTCTCGCAGTTTTGGCGAGGGACATTGATTCGGGAATTGGTGCCTGCCTCTCGAATTTCGCGAGGCCTGGATTCCGGGACGATTTCGCTTTGGCGCTCTCGAGTTTTTGGCGAGACATAGGGGGTTAGGGATGACTTGCTTTCGCTCTCGGGAATCCGTGGGCTGAGAACCAAAAAAAAACAATCTAAGAAAGCCTCGTGGGCAACAAACTCAGATCTCGAAACACTGCTCATGACCGCATGGATGATCTTCCGAGTCCCGAGGATTCTGGGTTCGAGTCGTTAGTGCAATAGTTCGTATTGGCCGAGGAAGCTCTGACTTCCGGTATTGGACACCTGGATTTCGTCTCCCCCACGGGGAATCGCGCCAGCGGAAAACCTTGGCGGTGACTTGGCGGGGGCCTTGGCGAATATTTCCGGGGGAGGGAAGGGGGGACCATTCAGCAGACGAGATGGCTTCGTTAGATACCTGGTAGCTCTGGATAGTCTCACCAGGCGCGGCAGGCTAGGGTCGATGGAATGGAAAAATATAAAGGGCGTCACCCCTTTTTCGCTTCGCCCGCAATGGAATAATCCAGTCCACCTCTGGAATACTTCACCACCATCACAATGGCTGTCGAAGACCAGGCGAAAACCCCAACGGACGTCGTCCACGATGAAACCAAAGCTGATTTGAGTGATGGACATCTCGACCGCGAGATGGCGGCGCCTGACGAGGCCAACGTGAAGATGGGTCCCCGTGTCTACCTGGCACTGCTGGTATGAACTGCTCTCCCCCCAACTCAACAAGGATTCCCTGCTGACTGACGGGCTATCATCTATGGTAGGCTCTCGCGCTCACCTACGAAGCGGCTCTGTTCTCCTTTGTTGTCCCATCGGCCGTTCTCCTGACCATCAACAACGATCTTGGCCCCTCACCCGATTTCACCTGGATTAGTACAACATGGTCACTGTCAAACGCCATCCTACAATCCATTGCCGGGAGGTTCACCGACATCTTTGGACGCCGATACTTTCTCATTGCCGGCAGTGTACTTGGCTTTGTTGGTACGTTTATACAAACATGAACCCTTCCATTCCCTCCATCTGGATCCTTTCTTTTGTGTAGTTGGGGGGAAAAAATGCTAAGACCAAATACTAGGAACCTTGGTGGCGGGACGGTACGTAGCCCAGTCCCTTTTTTTCACCCCTCTCGTGCAGGAAAAACGACGCAACATGGAAAAGGAAAGAATTTCTGACAAGATTATATAGTGCAAACACAATCAGCACTGTCATCGCTGGTACAACACTGATGGTACAGTTCTCACCCCCGATTGTGACCCTGGGGGGAAGTTGTTTCTTTTCGACGTTCTCGGCTAAAACGCAGTGAAATGACATAGGGTGTTGGCGCTTCGACACAGCAGATCGCCTATGCAGCGGCCTTTGACATTGTCCCAAGGAAACATCGCGGCACGGTTCTTGCGGCCATGAACTTTGCGGCCTTGCCAGGCTCCATGTTCGGCGCAGTCATCGGTTCGTTGATTCCTTTCCACGAGCAAGACGAAGGACACCCTTTTTCGCTAAGTCGTTAATCAGGTTTCAATATTGTCAAGACCTTGACCTGGCGGTACACCTTCTACTTCGGCTGCCTGGCAAATGGTCTTTCCTTTCTCACCCTCGTCTGCTTCTATTGGCCTCCTGGCTGGGTTGGTCTTCACCCGGACGGCAAATCTCGAAAGCAACAAATCCGAGAACTTGACTATGTCTGTGTTGTCCTCTTTGGTGGAGGTTTGATCGCTTTTCTCCTGGGAGTTGGCTGGGGTGGCAATCCCACCCCATGGATTAGCGCAAAGGTCCTTGCACCACTATTAATCGGCGGTATGGTCGTCACTTTCTCCAGACGTTGTTGATATATATCTGACACGAAATTCTAGCCGTGACGCTTATTGTGGCCGTGCCACTCTGGGAAAGATACAGCGACCCCAAGATCGACAAACTCTTCCCCCCTGAGCTGATGACCAGGTTCAGAACGGTCGTTTTGCCCCTTGTTTGTTTATTCTGCAACGGGGTTGTGGTAAGTCGGCGGTGTCTTCCGAAAAAAAGCCCAAGCGAGGTATTGCTCAAAGTCGACTAACAAGGTCTCATAATAGCTGGTGAGCTTTCAAGTCTTCTGGCCTCAGCGTGAGTACTTCATATACCATACCACAAACTTGTGTGCCGGCTAACAGACGAGCAGAGGTTCAACGCTTGTTCACAACCGAACCGGGTCGGGCTGGCTGGTTAAGTTTCTGCATGAATGGCGCTGGAACCAGTATGTCTTCTTTTCCGAGCCGAACAAACTCCTCATTCCCTGGTGCTGATATGGTTACAGCGGGAATCATCGTGTCCGGCTCGCTCTTTGGCATAATCAAATACACCAAATATCAATTGATCGTCTACGCGGTTTTCCAATGCGCCTTTACTGCTGCAATGGCATCGATCACCAGGGATTCCCTGGCGAGAGCTGTTGTTCTCTGCCTGATTGCGAAATTTACCATAGCCGGAAGTAGCATAATCGCAACGCTGTTCGTGCAGTTCGGGGCTGGCGATACCCGCCTTGGTGCCGCGACTGGGTAAGACGTTGTCCCCGCTCCTGTTTGATCGACCCATTCGCTAATCCGCCATGCAGAATACGTGGCACGCTTATAAGCGCGGGGGGTTCCATTGGTCTCGCGATTTGTACATCGGTGGTTGGGAACAAAGTCAGAGAGTCACTGTCGCCAGCTTTGGTCGCCGCTGTAGTGGATTTGGGGCTGCCTGCAGACTCGGTGGCAGGCTTCATCAGTCAGTGCTGTCCTCCCACGCGTACAATTCAGATGACAAGACTAACGACGATTACAGCTGCCTTCGTCTCCGGCAAACCGGGTGCCCTTGATGCCGTCATAGGAGCGACTCCTGAAGTGATAGAGGCTGCCACCCGTGCCTCTCAAGCGGTCTATGCCGACGCTTTCTCTCTCGTGTACTTGATCACGATCGTGTTCACAGGTAATGATTTTCTCCCTGGGGGGCCGATTCAGGAACGCTAACCCGGCAATAGGGGCGGCATTGATCTGTACTTTCTTCATTCCCAGTGTCGACCATCACCTGACCAAGTAAGATAGATACACACGACTCATATTCGAGATTCTTCTTTGCTGACCACAAACGCCAGGCATACCGCTGTCCAGCTCGACAAGGCCCACATTGTTGGACATGGTGAAGGTGAAGCTAAGGTGTTCAGGGAGGAAGACAGTGAGGACGGTATTGAGAAAAAGTAGCCTACCGAACGAGATTCCGCGACGGCGCTGCACGGACATCTACAACTTGGCCGGTATGGTCTTGTATGGCCCAGGAGGCAGGCAGAGATGGAGGGGTGAGTGGGTTGGCTGGGCGGGGGCGAAAACAACCATATATTAAGCTTTGGGCTAAGCCTTGATATCAGGCGGGAGCTAAGCCGACATCGTATAAGCTTGATTATTACCTTACAGGGGTGCTAGGCGGGTGCGTGGATACCAAGGAACGGAGTACCTATTGTACCGAGTATGCGCTACGAGTTACTCACGAGTAGGTAAGCACCTAAGTAAAGCGGCTGGTCGGCGGCTCACCAGGTGGGGGTCCTTCTTAAACGGGTGCGAAGACGGGGCGTACTTTGCTGCAGCCAAATACCACTCGAAACGAGCATCGACTTTTATTTTCTATGTACCTTGTACCGAGCCTTGTATGGGCCCTCGTTATGCTAATACAGTCCTGCGAATACTACCTAGTAGGTACCCAGGTATCCTTTTCGTTGACGCGTAATTCATCAGGCTCACATCACCTTGAGCTTTACAAGTTTCCCCGGCCCTCAGCCCCTCAGCACCAGCCTTGCAAGGCGCAAAAAAAAAAAAACACAAAACAAAATGAAGCCCAGACCATTGATCTCGGTTGTCAGCTGCAACGTCCTATCAATGCCCAATTCTTTGCAATTGGTGTCCTCCAGAGCAACTTGCTGCATAGTGTCAGCCCGTTGTCGCATTCCAGGGGGCATGTCCCACCACTTCGCACTGTTCTTGGTCGGTATCATGTCTCGAGCACTGTGCACCATCAATGGATGATCTTCACGTAATCAGCACGAACACTGATTGGCGAGACCAGTCCCCTGCTCTTTCCCCAGAGATGCTGACCTGTGCCCTCCGGATTCTGTGTTAGTCCACTAAAATTCATAAATCATGTAAGCGAGCTCATTCAAAGTCGCGGCATCTCCCGAAGAGAAACGTAATCTCATCAAGCCTCGCCTGCATTGAGCCTTAGGCGCCGCCGACCAATGAGACTTGCGCAAGGCTAGCCTGGATCTTAATCCAAGGGGTTCTGCCCCTCGGACTCTGTCCGGTCCAAGAACGAAGTCGTGGATCAAGAGGGAAAAGATAGCCCCTAAACAACAAGTGGGATAACTCCACTTTGATTCTATACTTGAGTACTGTTTCGGCGAGTCTTGACGAGGATTCGGCGTTAGGAGGCTGGCGTCTTTGTCTTGATCATGGGCATCACTGGCGGGTAAGAGGATGATTGCTGATATTTCGAGGTCATGCGCTATCAACGCAGTTTATGGATCTCGTCTGGGCCAAATCCGACCGGCGAATCGGAGCACCAATTCCCGCTGGGAATAGGGATCATAGAGGTATGCCACCAGCAAGTCTTCCAACTCCCTCACATTGCCAACTCCTATTTCGGTCGCCGCAGTCCTTGCGAGGTGCACGAACCACTCCAGGTCTTCTCCACCGGTGCAACAGACGCCTCCAAACACAGCTACCCAGAGGAGACAATCAGTGCGGGGCTGCCACAGCAGCCCAAGATCGGTGCTTTCTAGCTTAGCACGCAGGGAGTTGACCGAAGTACATGCCGCTCGCCGGCCCATGGTTGGGGAGCGCAGAAGAACGGCGCAGTAAGCTGTGGCAATCCTCACGCTGTCAGCCTTGTCGTCCAGGTCGCAATGGAGGGGCATCGATAGAAGTCTGTGCACAATAATCAGAGTCCGCCAATTGAACCACTTGTAGTACTCGTGGACATAGTGAGGTGAAGCAGCCAAGAAGGCCGACATTTTCAAGACTTGAATCAGGTCCGCAAAACTGTCGGCCAAGATTTGACATTCACTGAAGGTGTCCACCAGGATCTCGAGCAGTGACCCTGGTTGAAAGGGCAGCTGACTTTGAGATTCGATACGTAGCAACAACTCCTCCGGTAAAGGGCCAGGATCCAGAGTGACAACAAGACGTGGAACACCGAGCCGCTTAAGCGCTGCAATGCAGTCCAGCATGAATATCCTCTCCAGCTGATAATCATCAAAGGTGCTCAGGCCTCCAAGAGCATCGACCATGGAGAGTAGGGCTTGGAAATGTGGTTCGGCTGCCTCGTAGTTGTCCGAGTGTATCCCTGCAGCGTAGAGCCGATGGAGGTCCACCGCCGTGTGATGATCCAATTGTCCATTGGCAAGTTTGGTCTGTAGGGCGTGTACCGCTCTGGTCTTGAAAAACACGGGAACGCGTTGATTATCTTCTTCAGAGACGTTCGGTAACAGCAGTCTACCTTCTCGAGCAACCATCTGAGCTGCAGCAGAGGCAAGAAATGCATACATATGTGCGGGTTCTGTCATGCAAGCCTGCATGTCTGCATGGATCGAGGGCGCATGGCGAAATTGACCCATAGATACCTTTTGGGTGTCTTTCCAGAACTTTTCTGGGAGTATAATCGTGTTGTAATGCTTGATTAGAGGCGGCGCCCATTGTTCCAAGGCGCGATGAGCGTTTGTGGGAGGGCTAGCAACTCCTCCTAGCGGGATCGATGGACTGACAACATTGGCAACGCTTCTGGTCGGTGGCGGGAGATTGTAGCTCGAGGAGGAAGTATCAAAGTATTGACCAGGACGATAAGGGTGAGAGGAGCCAAAAACATTGGTATGTTGTGAAGGAATAGGAGGCGACGCAGGCGTGGAAGTGAAAGGGTCTGAGAACAGTGCGGAAAGTTGAGGGTCAAGGGATGTATGTGCTATGGCTTGAGGGCTCGTCGATTGGAACAAAGGGTCTTCAAGGTCGATGTTCTGTATGATGTCGAAGTAGCTTGCCCCTTGAGAAGGCGCATCCTGGGTTGTAGACGACGACGGACCAGCCACCGCAGGACTGGAGGACAGTGAACTCTGGCTGCTGGCTGTTTGCGGGGCAGCTTCTGATTGTTCTCGCAGGCGGCGTTTGCGAGCGAAATTTTGACGCTGTACATGGCTTTGCTTTGTTCTATCCAATTCAGCGTCTTTGGTGGTCCGGGTCACGGTCGAGGCATCCTCGTTGACGAACAGAAACTGAGAGTCGGGAGATTTCGATCGTTTTGCTTTTGGTGGCATGACACGTCGCTGGACAACTTAATTTCCGAGTAGGGCGGCAGATTTGTACTGTTGACAGTGAGGTTGTCTTCAGATTAGGTAAAAGGCGAGGCTGATCTCACAGACCTTGCTGACGGGGCCGATCCCCGTACGCAAAGATTCGACACAAAGCGAGCGCGCAATCAGAGTAGAGGACCGCCACAGGGCTATGGCGTCAGTTCAGGGAACAATGCATATGTTTGTGTTCCAGAAACTGCAGGAGCTGGTTTTGGGGCAGGGTATTCGTGGCTTTCTCCTGATTGAGTTTAGGTCGCTGCTGATACATCGGCAGTAGACGTTATTGGTATGGGGGACCCCCAGAGGAATGGAGGACGCCGCGGCGCTTCGGCAAGAGACTCGCGTAGAGGAAGCTGTTTTAGTGTATTGGAGACTTGATGCTGCCGTTGTGTCCTTTGACTCAAGATTCTTGGTTCCTTATAAGTGTGCCGGGTTTGATGCAGGTACTTGCCTTAGGGATGAGGATGTGCCAAAAGGCAGCCGAGTGAGGGCCGACTGTGTTCTGCTGCTGTCTTCCCTTCGTACACGGGGTCTTCAATATGCAGGATTAATGCACGGCGAGGGCAGGTCTGGGTTTGCCTTCGGGGGAGGGCAAGGTGTTTGTATATCACGTTAGTTTCACAGGGGATAAAGGGCGGGTAAAAGAGAGCTCTGGTCGCGAGAAACCCACAGGGCGCAATGGTCCTTCGGGTAGGAAACGCTTGAGATGGCGAATTGCCACCTGCAGAGAGTATTTGAACTTGTATGATGGTTCTTTCTGGAGGAATTAGAACCTAAATCTCATCCACGGCCTTGCCTCGTGCCGACCGAACCAGTCGCAAGTGGGCTCACCTGGCCCCGGTATTCACCTGAGCAGACATAGCTCGGGGCCGTATAGCATGGCAGAGCGGTTGCAAGCGAGATGTTAGGGCGTCAAGGGCAATGACCGGAAGTAGAGGATATGGCGCATTGCGAACATCCATCCCGATCGGCTGAGGCACCAGTAGAAGAGCTAGCATTTCCAGAACAGTGCGAGGTGCGATGAGGTAATGGTATCAAGGCACAGAGAGGAGCAATCGAAGATAGCGCAGGATACGGAAAGCAGGCGGTTGAGTTCGTGATGATACGAGTGGTATGGAGTGCGAGTGAGTTGTCAGTGTACGGATGAAGGAGAGAAAATCGGTGATGGATGTGTCTGTCTATGGCGTAATGGCTCCAGGGGATTGATGGAAGCGCTAGAATCTGGTTCAACCCAGCAAGGCATAGTCTAGGCCCTTTGAGCCTGGGAATTCACTAGAAAACAAGGGCGAAGAAAGCGTGGAACGGCTAGAAGAGTGAGAAATGTCAGCTGCGTCGAGATTATTGCTGCAAGCGGACTAAACTCTTCTAACGAGTCATTAACTAATTGACTCGCTTAACTTAACGGGGGGCACCAGGCTTAGTCAAAGGCCCCTGTAGCTCCCTAGGTACCTGTAAGTCAGTGCCTTGGGGGATGCCTGCGAACCCCTTGGCAGGGCTGGTGGCTTCACTAAAAGTTCACTAGCCCTTCGGTCGGGTCGATCTTTGTACCTGTCGTCCGTACGGCAGACATACGGACGACACCCCTGCATATCTACGAGTATCTGCATGCTCCGCTCTCGGACAACAGTTAGAGCGATGCTCCGTCGTGCGAGTCGGAGGAAAGGCAAGGCAAACCGATAATCTTCGTACCACCAAGAGTGTTTTACACGACGCAACCCATGAGAAGCTGGTAGACAGACTTGTTCACTTTGTGACAGTGAGAGTTGGTCTGTATGTGCACTATCCCATCCCGGCTCGATCACTAAATGCTGCTGTTGATCACTAGCTAAAGCATAAACAAGCATTTGACGGCTATCCAAATTGCCGAACTAC